TATGATTGTAGCTCCGCCTACATATCATTTTGAATCTTTCTTATATCCTCTATTTCTCTTGTTAGAGCAACAACCCTCTGGCTAACAGATTCTTTAGCTCTACTAACATCATAAAATGCAAACATAGATGAAGTGCCCTCATAAGCATAACCCTACGAACCCAGGCTATAAACCCTCCCCATATATCTTCATCCAACAACATCTGATCACGTGTGATACTTAGAATACTGGATCGATCTCAAAAATGATCCCTCTCATGTAGACTACTAACTTTCCCAAAATTTTCTGATCTATTTTCCTAACCGGGTCATCAAAAGGCCATAATTTTTAAGCGACCAAACCATCTATGATGACTTATAGCTACTAAACTTAACTTACTATTATGCTTCTCTTTTAATAAAGCATTGTAGTTCTCACCACCATCATATAGAGTTTTCCCTTAAGCTCGAGGGGGAATTTTCTATCACACAATAACCCTGATGCATTCCTCCACTTCAACCATCCAACTTGATTTCTGTTGATAATATCCCCATCTATTTTACATTACTCTGAATAAAAAATCTAATATATGTAAAATGTGTAATCTCATTAATGAATTTATCGCCCAAATTCACAATCCTTTCACTAAGTTTATTACAACTAACATTACACTTGATATATTCATATTTTAAATCAACTTAAGCGAGAACCTTTACAATCTAAGGTAGACATCCATAATTCAAGTTTACCTTCAACTCCCTAGGTAGTCTTATCAACAAGAATAATATCATAGGAAAAAAAAAAGGGTATTACCTCTTGCAAATGTCTACTAAGAACATCCATGAATAAAGTAAAATGACATGAGCTTAAGGCTAGTTCAAAATTAGCCTTTAAATTCAAAGTTTGATCTTCATAATTCAAGTTTACCTTCAACTCCCTCTCTAGACTTATCAACAACAAGATTACTAAGAACATCCATGACTAAAGAAAAAAATAGTAAATGCATGGAGATCACCTTCAGGCGTTCGTAGGTCAGAGTGAGGGCATCAGCAGACAGAGTGAGGGTATCATCGGCAGAGTGAGGGCATCAGCGGGCAGAGTGAGGGAATCTACGATCAGAGTTAGGGCGTTAGTGGCCAGACTTAGGGCATCGGCGGCCGGAGTGCTGCGGACACAGGTTGGAGGCAAGAGCGAGAGGAGTTTGGACGAAAATCTTAAACATAAAGAAATGAGGAGATAGGGCTAGGGCGGCCAAATTTAGGGTAATTATCGATAATTTTTTTGCAGTTTGCATCGTTAGAAAAAATTTACTTAAAACCAGCGGCCAAACCGCCGGTAATTATCGATGACTAAAGAAAAAATTGGCGGTATGTCCAGCAATCAGTTTGTCATCGGCATTTCCGGTAATTTATTATTAAAAACCATCGGTCGAACCGTTGGTTTAACGGTCGATAATTTCGATGGTCAAATGACCGTTGGTAAACAGTGAATTTCATGTAGTGATATCTTGAGAAATCATTAATAAAGATGATAGCCTAATGTTTACTTTTGAATGAAGCATTTTGAAAGGATATTCAAATATCAATCTACTTGTATAATCCAATGTCCCTTTGTTATGGTGAGTCACAATGTCAAACTTGACTATTGTTTGCTTGCTTAGGGCATAGTGCTTGTAGAAATCAAGTTTCCCAATCTTAGCATCTTTAACTAAACCTTTTTATACCATGTTTTATAAATTCTTCTCTCTAACATCCCATAAATATATAGTCAGAATTAGTAAGTTTTAGATGAATTAATATTTGAATAAGAGTAGATAGATTCTTTCTTATGATGGTGGGCACTTCAATGAAATATAAATATTTACTTTTTGAGTACCCTTGATGTATAAAAATGCTCCTCATACCTTTTTTAGAACTCTTAACACTTTAATTATAATAATTATAATATAGGACTCCTAATGAGATCAAGTAGAACATATATAACTTATATATGTCATTGAATTCTTCCATCATACATCATATATTTTTTATACCGAGACCTTTTATTAGGATGACACAATTGATATAGAACAAGAGCATGGAAATTATTTATGAATGAATTGGATTATTTTGAATATTTAAAAATTTCATGGAATGATTTTTTAGAGCTTAACAATCATTAACTATTTGAGCTTTAGTATTATCACACTACAGGAAAATTGTGTGTTACCGGCGGACAAAATTCGTCGGAAAACGCTCAAAATCCGTCGGAAATTAGTATTTCCGGCGAATTTCCGACAGATATTTTTTTGACAGTTATAAGCGCGTTGGAAAAATTATACCGGCGCAAAATAGGCCGGCGGCTTTCCGGCGGAACTTTTCCGCCGGTATAATTATTAGCTTCAAGAATATTATGACCTTTAAATTATTATCATTATATTTGCATAAAAACATGAAATAATATCTAGCTTACCATGAAAAAATCATTGAAGAAATATCAAGAGGCAAATTGCAATTTTAAAATATTAATTTTTGAGAATTTTCGTTAAGAATGATGAATCAAGTTTCCAAATTGATAGTCTAATCTCCATTTTCATACATTGTGGCACAACTAAGGCTTCGTTTGGGATGCCTTTTTCATTGCTTCTTAAAACAGAATTTTAGTTTAAAAATTAAAAATTTAAACTAAAACTCCGTTATAAGAAGCAAGGAAAAAGCCATCCCAAACAAAATCTAAGTTTGTAAAAACAAGTTCAAAGAAAGAAAAATTCATGGTGCTTTGGCTATTCTATAAAATTATTATTGGAATCCATATCAAGACTCACAAACTTGGAAAATGATGGTTTTGTCCTCTACTTTCAACATTAACAACTCATCCATGAATCACCTCAAAACTTTGGAACTAATGATGATCTGGATACATGTTATAGGAACACCATGAGTCCAAAATATAGCTGTCATATCAGTTATATGAAAATAAAAATACAAAAATGTTAATTTCTCTTCATCACCAATCTTTTGTACCATATTTATTATTGCCTTATTTTTATTTAGGTAATCCTTCTTCTAGTGCACTTTCTAGTGACACATGGCAATTCATTCTTCACAAGATATGTTTGTGATAATTTACCTTTCTATTTTGAGTGAGATTTTTTTTTCACTTACTAAATTTGTCATACTTATTATTATTATTTCTATTATTTTTATGATCAAGTGCATCCTTCATTCAACACTTCTTATGCACTAAGATATCGAAAAATCACTAAATTTAACATCATCTTTATCATATAATATTGTCATATTTAAATGATACTATGTTTCGTGTATAAAATTTAATATCAATAGTGTCATATCTTCACCGCCAATTTAAAAATAAATATTTTTTAAATATGTGATAACATGTTAAAATTATCTAAGTTCTCAATCATATGGATACTCTTTTATGCTAAATTGAAGAAAAATACTTTATAAAGTAGGATCAATTATTTAAGCTTTTTATCATCATTAACTTGTCTTCTAATTTTTTTAAGAGACTTAGGCTTTGTTTAGGACTGATTTTTTATTGATTCTTAAAGCGGAATTTTAGTACAAAAATTAAATCAAATGAAGCCTTATTGGAAAATCTTCCTTCTTAATTAAGTTTGTTTGGTCCTTTGCTAAGCATAATCGGATTATGCCACAAGCTTGATGATTCAAGAAGTTCTAACCTTCATTCAAAATGTGCTTGAGTTAACACTCCAAAGTAATAAGAGATTAATCTTGAAAATCATATCAAGACATCCTGACATACATCAAATTTGAACAACTTTTAATGATAACATATGATATTTAAAAAATAGAATCAAAATTTTAATCTCTTCATATTTGATTCAAAACTTATAGGAAAAAAAAAATATTTATCATAATTTTGAAGACAAACATAAAATTTTGGACACTTTACTACCAATTTGGTTTTTATTTTGACATACAACACAAAATAAAAGAAGAAATTTAAAGTAATTTTGAAGACAAACATTAAAATAAAGGAAAAAATGTGCTAATTTATAATGTCCTAAAAAAAATCTAGAATATATATAATTAAATATTTTCACCAAAAGGTGACCAATGCCTCATGAAATAATTTTAAAGTTTTTCTATTTAAAAACAAGTCAATGCATACTAAAATATATTTTTTAAAATTTCAAACTAAACTCAAAGTTTAATTGTAAAAAAATTAGGAATGAACTTCTTCCTAGGGGATTGATTTGTTAAGTAGATAAATTGGACTATGTGGTAGACTTAGGCTTCGTTTGGGACGGCTTTTTTACTGCTTTCTAAAATGAAGTTTTAGTACAAAATTTTTTATTTTTGTATTAAAACTTCGTTTTATAAAGCAATAAAAAAGCCGTCCCAAACGAAGCCTTAATCACTCGATCAACAAAAGACTTACTTGTATCACTCGATGATTGAGCAACTAAGCCATAGTGGTAGGCCACAACTTATTCCCTCTGAAAATTGTTTATTTGTGTATTCCTTTTGCCAAATACACAAAAAAGGTTACTTTATATAAACAATATACTAATTTTCTATATAACCACTTATACTAAATATGTTGCTTCACTAGTCACTTTTCAATAATTGCCCCACCTCTTCAATTCAAAAATAATGAAATCACAAATTCAAATATACAGCAACAATAACATCAAGTTTTTATGCCACTACATGGAGTCGAATACTTAGTACTTTTTCTCGTTTGTGCGCTATTAATAGTCAAATTCTGGTTTAAATCTAATAAAAAAAGACCATTTCTAATACTTTATAACTAAGCGTTTTTAACTCTACCTCAATTTTTCTAAACATAGGCCAAAAAAATTATTTTCAATATCTATAAATTACTTAAAAGACAAATTGAGAATCTTAAGTTATTAATTACTTAATATCTTCATTGTTAGTTCATATAAAAGTTTTATATATATTATTTGCACCAAAAAATATTATTTATGAGATTGAAATAAAAAATAGATACTTTTTTTTGTGGGGGGAGGGGTTGAAAGGGGAAGGAACATAGGCAATGACATAATGATGACTCAATTATGAATATAATAAAAAAGAAAAGCATTTCTACAATTTCTTAATCTCTACAAGAAGGCTAACACTCTTATCTTGCCTTCTCTTTATACATGCATGCATGTGGATCCAATCATCACTCATACATGCATGCCACTACCAACTGGTATATTCATGGTGATGATGAAGATGAAGATAACGATGATGATGATGATGATGTTGATGATGTGATTAAGGCATAAAGAGCTTATTGCCACACTTGCATCGCCATGCCTCAGGGTAGTATTCAGCGATCACGGGGGTGCCCGGGGGCACGGGCACGTGGACAGGGTAGCACGGGCTGCAGTCACCGCACTTTAACGTGCACCGCGGAGGATAAGACCCCGGCCCGCCTCCTGGCCCGCCCATTTCCCTCATCTCTTCCGCCTGCATACGCCATATACAGCTCACGTTAGCATCTCAACCTTACTTCTCACTAAATTGCGCAATAGGCCTGCGCCGCCGCCGGACAATGTTACGGTTTCTTAAAGTGGAAGAGAAGAGAACGGATAAATTGTTACCTGGATAAAGGTTGCCGTTCTTGAATTTTTTCCTCTGTCTGCAAATAAAATAGATTAAAATGCCAAAAAGGAGGCACTACGGAGTAAAAAATGCCGATTTTTTTTAAAAAAGATTCCTATTGGAGTTTGAAGAAATAATGGTTGTTTATGAAAGAAAATATGAAGGATCGATGAATTTTAGATAAAAATCTAATCTTGCTCACCTGACGTAGAATCTCCATTAGAGTACCTAGAGTACAGAGCAGAAATGGAGAAGAAACAGAGATATGTGCAGAACAGCAGACTGGTCATTGCTAATGATCTGCCTCTCCTTCTTCCTCTTCTGATGAGTTCCATCTTTGCTGGTAAAAGATCTTGATATAGTTGACAAGAAGAAGAAGAAGAAGACAGAGGAGAAGATGAAGATGTGATAGGAGCAGAAGTTGTAGATCTCAAGCTGTGTTTTTGATGTCTGTCAGAGCTTGAGGAGCTTCAGAATCCAGATCTCTGTGAGAGAACATTGCGAATGAGAAATCAAAAGGAGCTTATATATTTTGAAAAAGATTTCAGACCTCTGAATCTCTTTCTCTCTTTCTCCCTCAAAGTATCTTTACGCCTAACCCTCTTACTTGGCATCTGCGATAAGCTGGAAAGGAAATCTCCTGCGAAATGGGTTCTATAAAACTCACATGTTAGCTAATCGAAGAACTTTACCTCTCTGTCTTCTTCTGAAAGGGAAAGAATAATGACTTACAGTTTGCAGTCCAACTCAAATTGGGGAAATTTGGAAGGTAAGAAAACGATAGTGTTATAAGGTTTTTTTATTTTTGGAATATTTAGACTAATCAAGGGAAAATTATATATATACAAGAGTATCAATTTTTTAATAACATTAGTGCTATAAGTTTAGAGAATACTATTCATATTTTTTTTTAGATGTGAGAGAATTTGGATGAGCATTGATGTGAAGCTTTTGGCATCAGGAAATATTATTTAAAGAGAAATTATTCGGTGAGCTTTTTTAATCTAAAATTTAATTTGCATTTATTATATTAATAATATATTTATATTATTGTCTAATTCAAATAAAAAATAGGTAAAATGTTAAAAAATTGTGAATTGTAAATAAAAATAATATTTTTATAAAAATAACTAAATCTTAATATATAATATATATATATATATATATACAAGCAAGGCTTTTGAACATGACCAGAAAATGAACATAAAAAGGAGTTGTTAGTGGTTCAAAGGTTAGACCGGGATCGAACCATATTGATATAATAAATACTTATTATATTTAAATATTATAATGACACAACTATTTGTAATATATAACAAAATGTGAACATAATCATAATATGTAGCATTAAAAAAATATAACAAATAAATTTGATAAATTTAAAATTAAATATATTATTATTATGCATTTTTTTAAAAAAAAAAAAGACTAAGAATGAAAAAAACACAATATCTTCTCAATCTTCAGATACTATAATGCATAAAAAAGTCACTTAAAATAAACAGTAATGCAGAATCAAAGAACACGTGTGAATGCGAGGAGAACGGAGTTAGGAGTGAGGGCCAAGGAGAAGAGTGATGACTCACAGCAGTGGGGTTGGAGAGGATAGTCGAGCACTCTTCTTCTTCGTCATCCTTGTTGTTTTTGTTTCACGGAACAGACGACGGAGCGGTGAATAGAAAGAGCATAGAAAGTGTTTTTTTTTTCGTATGAGTATAAGCTTTACCTTAGTTAATTATAGGCCATCGGATTTAGTCTAAACGCTCAAATAATTTTTCAAATGAACTCACGGTTATTCAAAAACCAGGATAGTTTAGGCAATTTGCAAACCGAACTGCGGTTTGAACTGTTCGATAGATGTTTATAGAGAACCAATTTTATAGTAAATTATAACGTCGGATGGGCGCCGGCCAGGTTAACCGCTTGAATCAGCCGAACAATCCCATTTTTAAAGTCTTGCTTAGAAGTCAATTCTTTTTATGCTCGAAGTATAATAGAACAAGTATTTAATGGGAGATAGTGAAGCCCAAAAATTTGACAAAAAAAAAAAAGAGGATTAGAGACAAATATGGAGAGCACTAAATTCATATTATTAAAATTGAATAATCTAT